ATTTTTTTCTCTTTTTCCTGGGAACATCTTGTTAAGTGATTAATCAATATAATAATTTCAAAATTTTCATATTTTTGAAAAAATTAAGAAATACTTAAAGTTAAGAGTTTACGATTTTTATTTTAATGTTAGCATACAAAGAAATTTTTGCAACAAATTACTTTAAAAGCATTTTAAATGCATTTCAAAAACATGCTTCTGGTCTTCCCCTTGTAATCATTATATGTATTATTCTCTTATAAAACATACCAAATCTGAAATTGCCGGTAGATTATTGGTTTGGTCGGTAACAGTAGGTTCTTGCTCACGATTTTCTTTCTGCGCAGCCGCCTTTTTCATGTTTCTATGTTGTGGGAAAGTAGGCATTAGTTTTGGATCGCAAGCTACAACATATCAAATCGATCTGTTAAATAAATAATTTGAATCATTAACTACAGTAAAAAAACAATTTAAGAGAAGTCTAAATAATACTAACGTAAAGGAGCTTCTTTGAAGTAGCTACTTTGCAAACATTCTTCAGCAGTTGCTCTCTTTTTTGGATCGTACATAAATAAGAAATTCAATAATCTAAGACCAGCAGCGCTCAACCAGGGGAATCTTTGTTTCAAATTATTATATGGTTGTTGTTTAAGTGTAAAATTCTGTAGCGCTGGTAAAGAATTAAATTCTGGCCAAATAGCTTCGCTGGGTGTACCTAACAAATCGACAATTAACTCTAATTGTGCGATTTCTGATCTACCAGGTAATAAAGGTCTATGTCCCAATAATTCTCCTGAGAATAAAACAAACACTATATAGTACATATTTGTGAGTATCCTAAATTATAAATAAATCATATATAACATAATTATCAGGGTTGGGTATTAACTAGTTAAAACGTTAAAAGTTAAAAAAAAAAGTTAAAAAGTTAATAACTTTTAACTTGACTTAGTTAATTTTAAATGCATTAATTTTTAACTTAATTTAGTTATTTGATTACTTCTAAACTTTAATTTATTAACTTTTTTAAATTAAACAATTTTTATATTTCTTAATGCTAATATTTTTTTCTATAAAATCTTAAACTTTAGAGAATTAATTTAAAAAAAGTTCAATGATTTTATGATTAGATTCTATAATAAGAGTCACACCATACAGTAGCCAATTTTTATTGGCTCGCTAGGTTTTGTCAATTCAGCTTATATTTGAATAACACTAATTTTTTAGATGTCGTAAACATTATATTTCAGCAACATAAATATGAAATGAGCTTTAGATGAAGAATTGTTGTAAAACAGTGCTGCACATCCACCTATTTTCTAAATTTTTATGTATATTTTTTAAAACAAATATCTAGTCGATGTAGTAAACATGCCTGAGTAGTTGTTTCGGAAGTTAAAGAAAATTAGATAAAGGTTAAAGAGAGATAATACCAATAAAATATACCCTTCTCTCTCACAAGATTTTGATAAAAACACCTTATGGTGTGACTCTTATTATATGTATATAAGTAACTTACTGCGAATAAAAAAATTAAATTTACCTAATATTCTATATTTTAAGTGTTATTTAAAGTAATCTCATTTTAAGAAAAATTAGGACATTCTTATCTCAAAAATAATTTTTTTCAAAATTAACTTTTTTTTAAACTTAAGTTAATTCAATCCTAATTTTTATTAAGTTAATATTTTATTCCTTCACAACTTGTAACTTAATTTTATTAATTTTATAAACCATTAACTTTAACTTAATTTAGTTTAAAAAAACCATTAACTTATCCAACCCTGATAATTATTAATATGATAAATTAATATAATTAAAACAATAATACACTGTCTATACAGCATTGATTTCTTACCCAATATGCACCCAGCTGCCCACATATCAACTGAAGTAGTTTGTGTCTTAGCTTGCAATAGTAATTCAGGTGCTCTGTACCATAATGTTACTACTCTAGGAGTCATTGGCTTTAAAGGTAAACCGAACCACCTAGCTAGTCCAAAATCTGCGATCTTTACACAACCCTTATCAGTCATAAGGAGATTAGAGACTTTCAAGTCTCTATGAACGATAAAGTTATGATGTAAATAACGCAGACCTTTCAACACTTGCAATACTATACATTTGACCTGGCTTTCTGAAAATGGTGCTTGCATGTTGTCTAATAAACTTGCTAAATCTTGCTCGCAATACTCCATTGCAAGAAATATACTTTCTAAGCTTCTGCCTACCACCACTTCTCTTAGATGTACAATGTTTTCATGTCGGCATGATAATAAAACCGATATTTCCCTGAGACCACTTACTGGTAACCCATCTTTTTCATGTTCCATTCTCACTTTCTTCAATGCAACAACTTTATCATTTTTTGTATCTCTGGCTCTATACACAATTCCATAAGTACCCTCTCCAATACGATTCAATTTTTCAAATTCAGAGACAAACCTACATTTGCCAAGCTGCAACACGTAAATAAAATCTAGAGTCGTATTTAATAAAATCTTAGAAATATATTAAAATTCACTGATAAAATATTAAATTTATTACAATATCTTGCTCTGGTATTTCCATAGCTTTGCCAGTTAAAAAGGATGTTAATACTCCTTTTCTTGTGATTGGGGCAGAAGGATCAGGCCCAGAGTCAGATACTGCTTTCTTATCACTATCATTACGTTCCACGGATTTCTTTTCTAAATTTTCGTCTGGAAAAAAATATAAATTATTCGAAACTTTAGTTGTTTCAATCTGTTTTTTTTTTTTTACCTTATACTTTTAATAATATTACTTCTTGTATTATTTAAAAATATCTATTATTTTTTAGAATGTAAACATAATCGATTTATATTATATTCGTATTTAATTAATTTCAAAATCAGAAGCGCATCCCTGTCATACCTTTTGTCATGTTGGCCATTGTACAAAAAACGTTCAATTATTTAATCTACGAAAGACCGACAAATTACGAAGGCTGATGAAAATCAATGCGTCTATTTTTTGTGGTTGACTAGTGCACAGTCAGAGTTGCCAACTCCTATTGTGAATGGCTGCGTTCAGCAGAACACAACAGGGTACCTATCATGAAATATGTCGGAATGGATTCCGATCGGAATTATTCCATTTTCCCTAGAAAACACAATAGAAATCTAGGGAATAATTGAATATTTCCGATTGAAATCGATTCCGACTTGTTCTATGATAGGTACCCAGGGGCTCTATTCTTGAAAAGAAACTACAGTATACGTAACGTATACTATAGTATTTCCCTAGATTTTCGTATACGTTTCTTTTCAAGAATAGAGCCCCAGTTTTGTAACCGTTTTATGATTCTCTGCTGAGATTGGACCATTCCTCTTGATCTAAAAGTATAATCAGCACGAAGAAAACTTCCAACAGTTGCAAAATAAACGTTCTGCTGAACGCAGCCAATGAAACCGCAGCCACCTACTAGAGCCTTAATGCTGGATTCACACTGCATCCGATGTGCGTCGTACGACGCTTTGCAACCAATCAGAAAACAGGATTCCGATGATACGAAGTAAAATCCATCGAATCCGTAGCGATTATGTAACTTTTTCCCTAGGGCGAAGACGTGAAAAGTGAAAACTCTTTGCATGTGTGTGTATATGTACGAACATCGCATAAAAATTTTCACTTTTTACATTTCCGCTCTAGCGAAAAAATTACATGATCGCTACCCCGGACATAAGCCTTGTGTCCACGATGCTAGAAATCGGTCCGAGATCTCGGATGAAGAAAGAATTGACCAATCGCAATGGTCAGGTGATCAAATTGTTCAAATGTGATTTGTTAATTTTTTCTCTGTCCAAGATCTCGGACCATCGACATCTAGAATGGACCCCTGATGGCAATGGTGGGAGTAGAAAGACGATTAGAGAGTGAGAGGCAGGAATAATAAAATCGTTCTTTCTCTGTTTATTGTTGTTTCTAACAGCCTGATTGGTTGTTGGATTAACAACAACCAATCAGGCTTCAGTAAACAGAGAAAGAACGATCTTATTATTCCTGCCTCTCACTAAAAAACCGCGTAACCAATCAATAATCAGTAAAACGCGAAATCACAATAGCGGATCGCTTCTGATTGGTTACACGATACGCGTTACGCGGAAAATCTGTGCCATGGGACGGCACCCTAATCGTCTTTCTACCCCCACCATTGCTATCAGCGGTCCATTCTAGGGCCGTGGTCCGAATCATGCTGACAACGCTCATGAGCATTGTTTGTCTTCGTTTAACATTTGACAAACAACGAGGATGAAATGATTTTTAAGCGTTGTGAGCGTGTATCGGACCGCGGCCTAGATGTCGATGTCTCGGACCGATTTCTAGCATCGTGGACACAAGGCTTTATGAGATGCTGCCTTCAGTATGCTAAAATCCCTAAAATATTCTTTCCTTGTGAACCAAGCAAGGAAACTTTGGAGAATTGAGGAATCCTTCATGAAGAATTCCTCCATCCTTAAAATGAGGAAGGACTATGAATACGGGTGGTAGGGTGATATTTCATTTGTGCGGTTTTGTCATACGACAAATTTTTCAAGCCTGTTGATTGATTATGGGATAGAGAGATCCGAGGACTTCTCTGTTCAGGGTACCTATCATGAAATATGTCGGAATGAATTCCGATCGAAATTATTCTGTTTTCCCTAGAAAACACAATAGATATCTAGGGAATAATTGAATAATTCCGATCGAAATCCATTCCGATTTTGTTCCATGATGACCATGATAGGTGCCTTGTATACATTTGTCGTACGACAAATTTTTCAAGCCTGTTGATTGATTCCGATCGGAATTATTCTGTTTTCCCTAGAAAACACAATAGATATCTAGGGAATAATTGAATAATTCCGATCGAAATCCATTCCGATTTTGTTCCATGATGACCATGATAGGTGCCTTGTATACATTTGTCGTACGACAAATTTTTCAAGCCTGTTGATTGGCTATGGGATAGAGATATCCGAGGACCTCTCTGTTCTGTCATGTTCCGTATACATTCGTCGTATGACAAACACACGAATGAAATAGCACACTTGTAGTCAATTTTGTAAAATTAAAATGATGTACTGGTATGACTGACCTCTTTCAACCCAGTGATCTTTACTTGGAAGCGTGGTACTGTAATTTTCTACAAGAAATCGGAAATCCTCCGGCCAGAAGAAGAATTTTATAAAGAGCAATGTGGAGCAATGTCGATACAAACAAAAGGGCTGGAATTGAACAAATGCATTTTCTCTCGTTTATGGTACACATCTCTAAATATTTTCTATATAAACAATGATAGCAATTTTTTGAATGAATTCCATCACAACTGCTGTGTCGACTTAACAGAACTGGAAACTGTAATTGAAAGTTTGATGTAAGTAAGCAATTATATCACGAATTATATTATTGTCACTGCTTTTGTTTTTATATTTTGGAATATATGTTTATAGACATTCCCCGAATGAAGAGCAATATCAATGGATTGCTTATATATTACTGTGGAAACTTATAGATAACAAGTCAACTAATGTTGACTGTAATATACAGTCCAATATTCAGACACAATTTGATTGCATACAAATAAAAAATGCAATAGAGCTATGCAGTAATGTACCAAACTGTTTACGTAAGGTATTTCTCTCAAAATTGGTTTTTTGTGACTTTGTGTTATTTTTGTTTTTAATAAAAATTCTATTTTCTAGGAATTGTTACTATTTCTTCAAGAACTAAGCACACGATGTAGCATAAAATATACTTCGAGTATTATGTTCCAACAAATTCTTATATTCGTAAAAGATAACATATGTATCAGTACTGAAATTGTGTGTTGGATTATAAACAAATTAATATCTTTTGTTCCGAGCGATACTGCTAGAGATTTACAAGATAGTTATTTTTCTACTTTGAAGTCATACTTAGAACACATTCCACCCAGAAAAAAGTGGCACTTAAATCATATAGTAACTCATTCTTCTGAAACTGATTTAGCTACTCGCGATAAGTCTCTACAAATGGTTCTACGTTTTTTGTCAAAAATAGATATAAATGCAGGTTCGCAGATCGAATTTCTAAAAATAGTTTGTCCTACGCTTTCAAAATCATATATTAAAAATATTAAACTTGCCTTATATTCAAAGAAAAATGATAAATTGTTAAGTGAATGGCTCTTACTTTGGAATAAAACACTCATGTGTTTTGAAAGCACTACTACTTTACTCACAGCATATAAAATATGTGAAAGTGTATTTGAATTAACAGAGAACTCTGAAATTCTTTTGTGCAAACAAGAATTACTTAAAAGAACAAGTGCAAGAAAATTACATTGGTTGAACGATATTTTGGTAAGTTTCGTACTTTCCTAAAGCTTCCTTTAATTGATAAAACAATTTAACAAATTAGCAAATTATATATACATATATATATATGTATATATATATATATA